AGGGGAACGCGTTAGGAAAGAAACGCATAACACAAATAACAGTTTTCAAATTACGCTATCTAGTTCCTATCTAGTCTTTAGTATACACCTATTGTGTATACTCTATACTATCTAGAAACACCTACGCTTCCTCATACACGTGCGCACACGTGTAAGCTAGGTAGTGAGCATTAGGCCCACTACACGTAAGGTCCAAAAGGCGCCAAAATCTTGCAACCCCCTGGGTAGAAGCTTGAGCGCGGTTGAAGTAGAACAACAATACCACTATATTTTTCGATTTTTACATATAAAAGTATCATTCAGATTTCAGTTTTACCTAAGCAATACAAGTATCCTAGCCGAATACGCGATTGTGTATTGACATACTACTAGAGCAAGTCAATTCAAATACAGAACTCGCGACGTGTACGGCGTTAGCAACTAAGGATTAGATACGTGTGAAGCAAAGCATCGGTTGGCGCGACGCTGCGGCACACCATCCACGGCTACGTTTACTTGGAATACAGCGGTTCCATGCCGAGGAGGTTGGCGGCATCATGGCACCCCGAAGAATAGTGCCGTCACGGCGTGAAGACAATTCGATGTCGAAGAGAACGGCGACAGCATAGTACAGGCTGCGGAGAAATACACCCTGGAATTCCGTGTGCGGAGTGGAGAACGTTCGTGAAGCACCTGGTCAGTCAGGGCATGTTGAACGATGCAGTGCCGAGCCCGACGCTGGCCCAACTACAGACGAAGGACACAGGCCAAGGGATGTAACAGTTCAACCATTAAGCTCGCTGTATAAGGATCCAGTACGCGACGGGCTAATGACCCCCCCCCCCGAAACTATGTGTGCTAGTTTGTATGGGTCCAAATAGAAGAAAAAGAAAAGACAAAAACCAAGATAACCAACGATGAATGACTCTAATTCAAGACGAGATCATCTACCCTGAGCAGCTCTGAATATCAGCGTTCTAAAAAACCAGATTCGGGTCGAGTTCTGCCGAAGACCTGGTCGAAGTTGCACTAGGGCGGAGCCAGAGATATGGATGGTGGGAAGATCATGATTCAGAGAACTTATAGGAGAGCGCAACTGTCTCCGGGGCGGTCAATGATCGATGAACGTACTTCTAACACGGGTGCTTCGGGAAGTATTGTGAGTCTGGACCTAGCGTGTAGGCTCAGTATCAAAATCGGAACGCATCGGCAGATCAAGGTGTCTGACCTGGGAGGGATCCCGACGTATATCTCCGCGCATGCTCGTGTCAAGATTACCCTTGGTTGGGAGGTGGTCTACCTTCAAGATATCTGGATCGGAAACATTGGTGAAGGTGTGGACGTATTATTAGGAATAAACTTCATGTATTCGGCTGGAGTTAGATTATGCATCCGGGAAGAATTAGTCATATATGTATGATGCATGACGACGTCCCTAGGAAACGGAGTGGGCTAGAGCTGCCGGTATGCGCGAAGCAAAGTTTGTATCTGCGTCCTAGCGAAGTTTCGGTAGTCAAAATTGAATACGGACAGACCAACCCCCAGCGCGAAGTGGTCTGGGCCGGACGAGGAAAACAATGGGTGATAGAGATCCGGTTTGGAGCCCGGTCCTGGGCTACGGCAGTCCGAGTGGTCAACGGTTCGGACAGAAATTTCTGGACCGACACCTTATTGGATTGTGGAATACGTGCCCTTTCCCAAGGAGCCAGGATTCGTCCGCCCAAAAAAACTTAGATACAAGGAGTGGTAACATCTTATTCTCGAAAACACCGAATCGCGTCAGGGTCGGGTGTGTGCTGAGCGCCTAGATCGGTAAATGCGACTACGAGACCCCCGCGGTGCCACAACCAGAGTATCGGTGGCCGACCAAACTCCTCGAACGCTCGAAGTCTCAGGATGCAGAGGTTTGGATGGTACCTGTGCAGGAACGGCCAGAAGTTGTGGAGGCCTTCCTTGCCGCGGGACGTGCTACCACCCTAACACCAGAGGCAAATGCCTTATGTGTGGAAGATCCGACAGATGTCCCGGTGACGTCACTCGCCGAAGAGACCGGGTTGTAGACACCAGAGATGTTGGTACCCAAGTTGATGTCCCAAGCTTTTGTGGGTGTGGCGCTTGAGATCGGTGTGTTGTGCCTCTGACCAACCCACCAATCCTAGAGCCCGACAAGAGGGCTCAGAACCGGCTAGGACTTAGGTGACCGTGGAAAGCGCAGAAGGCTCAAGGCGACTCCGAAGCTTAGTGGATCTGAGTGAAGATCTAACCACCTCGTGAAGAACGAGGGTTCCAGTATATTACCCGTCGACAGGACCGGATCACTTCACCTCAGAAATGAACGACGACTCAGAGTTCGTTCCAGAGTTCGACTCGGAGGCCATGCTAGAGGATGTCGTGGAAAGCGCATTGAATGATTTCTCAGACCCCATGGATGACGCCTCGGACCTTGCAGTCACTCCTGTCCAAAGCCTGGAACGAGAATACGAACGTGTCATGCGCATGACAGTAGAATAGTTAGATCTGGAACCAGCTGTATATCTGCGAGAAGGGACGATGATTTGACTTTGTTTCCAGAGTTCGAAGAATTGATTCCGGGGTGTGACATCGACAACTCCGACGTTGGCGTCCCAGGCGTTACAACCCGAGTGATGGAGGACAAGATGCGAAAGATCTGGAATTATCATCGCCGTATCTTTTTAGGTGATGACAATGCCGTACTAGTCCCAGCTCGTGGAGTCGTTTGCGGCTTAGATGTGGGTGATGCAAAGCCGGTGGCACTGCTTGCTCGACAGATCGCCTCCAGATATCTGGCGAAAGTTTACGAACTGCTGAAAAAGCCTCTAGAGACTGGACTCGCTGAACATTCCGAATCGGAGTGGTTATCCCCATCGTGACCGTTTTGAAGAAGAATACAGAGGATTCTAATATATGTAGATTATAGGCTGGTTACCAGTTGATCAAGCTATCGCGATACCCTCTACCTCTGATTGACGACTTGCTGGCTGACTTTAATGACGTGGCCTGGTTCATGATTCTAGGTTTCTGGGTGATTGAGATGACAGAGCGAGCGAAGTTGATTTCGGGCTTTGTCTGTCTATTCGTACCTTTGCGGTGGATCCGGATGGCGTTTGGATTAAAGAACGCGCCATTAGTGTATCAGAGTGTAATACACAACTGTCTCTGGGGATTTGTGCAGCTCCTACCTGAGGAAGTGGTTAAGGCCGATCGAGATGGCCAGGAATTTCTGAAGTTGACAATCCCAGACACACGACCGACGATCGAGAATTCTCAGGATGAAGGTGGTTTCAAACTTCCAGGACTGATGAAGGATGCGACCGCATTCAGGCGAAACATTCCGACCTCGACGCAGATGGGACCGGTTCTGGGACGTAGCTTTTCCATAGACGTCACAGATCACGAGGAACCTACCTGGGACAAACTTTGGGAGAACCTTAATGCCCTGCTGTTCCGACTCTGATATTGGAATATCTCGGTTAGTCTGCCGAAAAGCGAGTTCAGTAAACAAGATATACCGTATCTATCTCACGAAGGCTGTGCCGATGGTATCAGGACTACCCCGAAGATCACCAAGAGCGTTCAGGACCTACCTTTCCCATTGACTCTAAAGGGCGTCCAATCATTCTTAGGAAGCCTGAATTACTACAACAAGTTTATCGACGATTTTCCTGTTGTCGCGGCTGTGTTTTACGAGCTGGATGAGGATCGCATCCGCGCCGGACATGATTTGAATAGGGCTAAAAAGCGTTCGAGACTCTAAATCGCAAGATCACGTCGACGTCGCTGCTGCGCCATCCAGATTGTACCAAGCCGTGTGTCATCATCTCTCATGCAACCCCCTGGGCGGCTTGTGCTGTCCTGGGGCAGGAACATGAAGGTGTCATCCAACCAGTGCGCTTCACAGGGCGAGTTGTGAACGAGTCCGAACTCAGTTACCACATCACAGAGAAGGAGGTGTTGGCGATCCTGCGAGTCCTAGAGTAGTTCCGTCAACTCATCTATGGTTCAGAGATACCGATCGTTATCTCTACTCGGTATTCGGTTCTGAAGTCGTTATTGAGGTCAAATTCCGCTAACGGCATCACCTAAAGTGGGGTCTAGAATTGCCGGAGTGGGCTCTGCAACTACGCCATGTGCAGCGCGATGCAGATGGATTAGCTGCCATCCTTGGTGCAGGTATTACCCCAGGGAACATTTAGACGAAGTCGCGGAAAATCTGATCCTGGCTAAGGGGCGAATCAAAACACCCCCGCGAATCAGTGTAGAGATGATGGATTCAGACTTCGAAGGATATGTTCTGAGCTTTGATGGTGCGGGCAAAGTCTCCACTAAAATGGGAAGTTGCGGATGTATTCTGTGGAGTTTACCTGGCTGACATGTCCTGAGTGCCCACGGAGTCCCTCTGGATGATGTCATTGTGAATGATGCAGAGTAGCACGGGTTGATCAAAGGCTTGGAGCAAGCCGTCGACCGTGGTGAGATGTGGTTGTGGTTGACGATTCCAGAATCGTAATCCAACAAGCACAAGGGTTGATAGGTTGTCCCCAGCCTAATCTGCAACGTCGACTTGCTGCGTATGAAGCCTTGAGATTGAAATTTGACTCAGTACGGTTGGCCTACATCAAGCGTGACTACAACCAGGCAGCATACTACCCAACGACGAAGACGGATGAACAGATGCATCTGAAATCTGTCTCCAGGGTCCCGGAGAAGATCATGAAGATCCCAGAATCCTCGGAACGAAAGGACGACACAAATCAGAGTCCTAAGAGTGACCACCCAAATGGCCTCGTTTCAGACCCCGTTCCAAACGCGTCTGATATAATAGCACCCGTAAAGATGGTTACAACCCAAAGTCGTTTCAGATAAGTGGACCAAGTGCATGACCCTAGTCGACCATTTGACTATCGAGACGAACGTTGTAGACGCATTAAAGTCCACCGGGACGAGGATCTAGAGTTAAACAGGCTCAAAAATTACTTGAAAGGCGACCTGTTGAACTATACATGGAGGAAGTAAAGAAGATCGCGAAGGGTTCAGACCGATATGTTTTAGACTCAAGAGACGTCCTTTATCGTTTGGCTACGCCTACCCTAGAACGTCCTAGGGACAAGCGTTCTGAACTTCGCCTATTTGTACCAGGAGCCTTGCGACCCGACATCCTACACCACGCTCACGAGGATTTCCAGAGTGACCACCAAGGAATCACCAGGACATATGAGCGTCTGTGTTCAGAATTTTTCTGGGCCGGAATGTTCCAAGATATTGAAATGTGTGTCAAGGAATGTACGGATTGCGCGTTTGCTAAGGGGCGACCACCGAATCCAGGACCTTCTCCCGGGAATATTGAACCGACTGGTCCATTCGAAGTAGTGTCCATGGAGTTTATCACAGACCTTCCGAAGTCGGAACGTGGGAATACCTTCCTACTTTTGTTTCAGGACATGTTCACGGGCTACGTTATGTCTAAACCCATGAGTAGTACTACCGCTCAAGGCTGTGCTGAAACCTATGAAGAGGTTGTGTTCCGAAACTATGACGCAAACACCGACATCCGTCGTGACAACGATCCCAGGTTCATGAGTCGGGTGTTCTGTCGTTTCAGCGAGATGATGGGTATCCGGCAGAACGCAACGCTCGCGTATCGCCCTCAGGCAAATGGCCAGCAGGAACGGTCAGGTCAGACAATTATGCATAGTATCAAAGCGTATGTTAAAGACCCCGACCAAACCGACTGGGATGACCAAGCAAAAAAGCTGATGCATGCTATAAATACCTCCTTCGATGCGACTAGATTGGATACGCCAATTTACCTACTACATGGGTTCGATTGTCGGAGTACCATAGCAGCTATGTTGGGTCCAAAACCGACGGATGTCACAGAACGTACCGCGCATGAATGGTGTCGAAAATTGCAACGAGACTATAGTTATGGCCACGCCTGCGCGGAAGGGCTCCAGAGGAGACCTAAGCGTACGCGATCCACGGTTCAAACTTAGAAGTGGAAGGTGCTATCGGATCACCTCAAGTCTGGTTTCGAAGTAGGTGATTCGGTCTGGTTATACTCTTGAAGGTTCTGCCAGGTCTGAGTCGTAAATTGACCCATTTCTGGCACAGACCATTCAGGATTGAGCAGGTTCGGGACAAATTCAAGGTAAATCGAAGGTTCATGGCACACGCTACCGTATAGGGCCATGGGTTCACGTTAGGCGTCTAAAACCACGTGCCTTGTTTCCGAAACGGCCGTCTATAAGGATTGACGTTTCAGAAGATGATGATTTTGATGCGGCCTTATTGCCTGAGGATAGTTGGGAACCAGATTCGGCACATCAGGAGTACGACGTGGAAGAAACTATGGATTTGAGATGAGCCAAGTGCACCCGAAACGTACTCGCGAATATCTCATTAAGTGGAAGGGATACGACGAACTTCAGTGGTTGCCCGTCTCACAATTGAACCGTGGCTCCTTTTTATACAAGTTCAACCGGTCAACACGTGTAAATGCTCAGTGCTGGGGCAGGAGGCACTTCGTCACTGTTAGTTACAGCGTTG